GCTTTTTTGTGATGTAAGGTCAAACAAAACTGATTGGGCAAGATTTTCATGTCTGCATAACCATTGTGGAGGGTAGTCGGTCAAGTTGGGGATCTTTCCAAATTTGGTAATATCAACATAGAGACAAAAGAGTTAGCATATTCAGGAACAGAGGAGCTAACAGAGAATGTGAGTTTGGACCAATCTTTCATAGTGATATTTAAAATTTTTTTGGTGTGTTCTACACTAGGATCTAGCGGTGAGCTAATAGTAGGGGTGTCTTCAGGTAAAGCTGGCTTGGTGTTCCAAAAAAAAATATTCTAGTAAGAGGCAGAGCTTTCTGAGGCCATATTTTTGTCGGAGTCTTGGGGCTTAATATGATATGAAACTTGTAGTTGCTTACTGTTTTTGCTTAGAATACTATCTGTAAAATCTTTTGGATTATGTAAAAGTTGAGGGTCCTTAAGACTGCTTTTGCAAAAGAATTGAAAAACTGCCTTGTTGCTGTTTTGGGTATTTATTGCTATTAACTTGTTGTAGTAGGGTCTTTTAACAAAATTTGCACCTCCTTTAAGTAGTTTACGGGGTGCTAGATAACTTTACTTAAGAGCTGGATATCAATTTACTTAGTAAGTTTTTGAGAAAATGGTATGAGAAAATTTTTTCTTCTTGTTTCTAATTTGGTAAAGTGATCTACATGAAGAGTTTCTTTTTGTAGTTCTTGAGAAATTGCTTAGAAACTATAAATAATTATATTAAAAAAATTACTTATAGTTTTTAAACAATTTTTCAAGAACTATTAATCCAAATAGGCTGAACTTTTAATATATTGTAGCCCAATATCACTCCTATCTCCGGTAAAAATTTCATCCAATTTGGTTTAGTTGTAGAGAAAATCATAGCCGGAGGTTAATAAAAAATATGATTTTTATATTTTTAATTAAAAAAGTTTTATATAGTTTTATTATTGGGCAATTTTGATTGGCTAACAATTAAGAAACTTGTTTAAAATTTAAAAATATATTTATATTATTCAAACTCAAATCAAACTCAAATTTAACTAAAAAAGTTTGCTTCAAATCAAACTCAAATATTTTTTTAATGCTAGTTTGAGATCAGGTTTGATTTGAAATCAAATCAAACTTAAACTTGGCCTAAAGTTTGATTTGATTTAGGTTTGTAGAAACCCTAACAGAAGTCAACAAAGAAATAGTGCGCTAGTGGAACAAATATTAGTAAACTTTATATTAACATGGAATTGGGGTTAAAAAAACACTGAAAAAAAGATATTCATTTATTATTAGAAGATGAAACTATACAACAAATTTAAGCAGCAAGTGATGATCACAGAACTAATTACCAGTATGTATCAGCAAAACAAAGCATACCACAATAAGACTGCTATCACAAAACTATTGGTACTATAACAATAGTAAGATGGTGTTGCAATGAAGCTAAAGCTGCAATATCATGAAATGCAACTAGTAAGCAACAATACAGAAGTAACTACCTGCAAGTCCACTTCATAATAAAATCATAGTCGCATTACAGACAACAGCAAAAAGAAACCACAACTACAAAGTTGTAGCACTAGCAAAGCAAATCTCATCCACGGTTGACAAGCAACGATCACAGAACTAACTATAGTAGAAGCCAACAAAAGAATTACCAAACCCTTAAACATTGCTTGGAAAAAAAAAAAAGTATTAGACATAAGCTAGAAGAAAAAAACTAATAATAAAAAAAAATAAAGAGAAAGAAAAGTATCTACGAAACTGGCTGTAATAGCAATACAATAATAATAGTATATACGTAAAAATAAAATAAATAAATGTTTATCTAATCTATATTGTATAACTATATATATGTACACATATCATTCGTAGAACTCTTTCTGTAGATCACTTTACCAAATTAGAAACAAGAAGAAAAAATTTTCTTGAGACATTTTCTCGAAAACTTACTAAATAACTTGATATCCGGCTTTTAAATAAAGTTGTTCAGCACCTCATAAACTACTTAAAAGAAATGCAAAGTTTGTCAAAAGACCCCATCGTGACAAGTTAGAAGCAATAAACATCAAAAACAGCAATAAAGCAGTTTTTCAATTCTCTTGCAAAAGCGGTCTTAAAGACCCCAATATTCATATAACCAAAAAGTTACTACAGTTAGTGCTTTAAGCAAAAACAGTCAACAGTTACAGGTTTTACACTATACTAAGCCCCAAAATCCAAACAAAAACATGGTTTCCGATAGCTCTTCCTCCTACTAGAATATTTTTTCTCAGAACACCAATGCTGCTCCATCTGAAGACACTTCTACTATTAGTTCACCATTAGACTCCAGTGTAAAAAATTTTTAAACATCACTATTAAAGACTGGTCCAAACTTATATTTTTTGTTAGCTTCTTTGTTTCTGAATATGCTAACAGCTTCGTCTTCTACGTCGATATTACTAAATTTAAAAAGATCTCCAATCTAACCAACTACCCTTCACAATAGTTATGCAGACATGAAAATCTTGCTCAATCAGTCCTGTTTGACCTTACATTACAAAAAAGCGATATTGTCAACATTAGTGCCAAATACCCAAAGCCTATCCAGAATAGCGATCTTGTTACAATCACAAACCTCTATGAAGCTAACATAAAACCTTATTTAAAAGCTAAAAGTACAGAAAATTTAGCCTCAATCCCATACAATGCAATTACAAATCTTGATTCAGATAATGAGTCCAACAGGAGCTACAATGAGTAGGTTGTACATACAGCTACCAACACCAATTCAAGCTCTCTCCAAAACATAAACACAGGTTATGCAGATATGAGTACAAGCAGCAACACTATGAACCCTGCACCAATTATGAACAAACCCCTAACACTAACACAGTACCCAGGCCTAGTACACCCACAACCAGATTACCCAGTCTATACTTTCTACACCCAGTTCTAATTACATCCCAGCAGTTTTTAACCCTAGAAACAACTATAAAAGCCAATAGATCTTTCTAACATATCCTACCTGCAGCAACTTCACACAAAGCCACCAAAGCTCTATCTAACAATGTTGCTATATCCACTGATAAACAAGCTACTACAAAACCTACATACAGTCAAGTTACTCAAACAAATTTGAACCTGCTTAATACTGAGACTCCAGAGAATAAAATGGTATGGGCTGATGAGATATACCTTAAGATTGTTACACCTATTAATACACCCTTCAATACTGATCATTGGACAGTAGAAAAATCACTAAAGCACTCGAAACCCCTGAAGGCATTTATGAATTCACTAGCCACAAGCTTGTTACAATCCCAACACAATATAAGCTTCCTAAAACAATCAGCCTTAAGTTTACTTACCAGGATACTAGATTCTTTACTACAACCCCAAAACCACCCCTGTACACCAAAAGGAATACAATGAGATTTTTAATAGGGCTCTAGCAGCATATAAGCATGACCATGAAATTACACTTACTAATGCCACTACTTATGATACTATCCATACAATGCTCAGAAAGTGGCTCATAGCCCAGTACCTTTCAAACCTCAATTTCAATAGAACTTCTTACAGAGGTATATGCAGTGCTATTCGGTATGCCAGAGGCTTTTTAAAGATTAAAAACTCTAGTAAGCAAACCCCTAGAGAAATCAGAGCTCAAATCAACAGAGCACTAGAAAATAAGCTTATTCCATTACCAGATACACCAGAGGAGATATCCCAAGAGATCCAAGAAATTTTACCATTCCAACTTCCTATTAAACTACGATCATACACCAGAGCCGTAGTAAATGCTCTTAGAAGAATCTACAAATTCTCAGAGCTTTTTGATGCATACTTTGCCAAACTTCCCCAATTACCCCCACTATAACAAGCTTCCACCCAATTTGCGTCAATTATTTCCCATTACACATAGGTCTTCACTTCAATATTTTTCTTTATACAAAATAAAGCTTGCTGACTTATATACTGTCACCAAGATTCCAGACTTATACTTTGATCTACCACCCAAAAAGATTTCCCTTCCTACAACATACCAGGAGCTCAACCACAAAGTCTGAAAGTTCTTTCCTTTTAACCAAGCCACTTCACTCATACCTTTGGCTGAGGTCATTTCTCAACTTAGAGAATTTTATACATTCAAGCTACTGCCAAATGATTTCTTCACAGTTAAGCCCTCACTCCCTACAGATAGCAGTAAGATCAGAACTAGAACTGCCTTCAACTTTCCGATTACAGATAATGCAGAGGCTAGAGAGTTTATTAGGCAAATCTCTCCCTACTACAAAGTCCATTTCCCTCTTCCTACCACAATTATGCAAGCTAACCCTATCAATAAACCTGCCCTACTAAATGCAGAAGAAATTACCAAACTCTATAGTATCACTTTTTCAATCACATCTACACAAGTACTCACATCTACAGCTAAACTCCTTCACAAATATTACTACTTTACCCAGCTCCCCACAAACTGGATCCAAATCAGCAACAGCCCACCAACCAACTCAGAGGGCACTGACCCAAAAAGTCAGCAGGCTCTCTCCAGTATCCCAGAAGACATTGAGGAAATCATTAAAACTCTGTCCAGGAAGGAAGTTATTGTTTCACTTCCAATCAAAAAACAATCAGATATCATCTCGACTATGCAGGCCCTCAGACAATTCTATACAATCAAAAAGATTCCAGATTTCCTGCTAGACATTCCTCCTTTCCCAACACCAGCTTGGGGGATATTTAGCTATACATTACCACCACCTACACTATCTACCCCAGCATGATACAATCCTTTGCAGAGGCCCAGGCATTTATTCCAATATCTATAGTAGAGAATACTGCTATCATGACCTCTTATACTTTAGCTATACTTTTAACTTCAGCTAAAATCACACCTAACAACAGCAACGACCCATCACTATCTACTATCTCCACTCCACCAAGTAATTCCGCACTGATAAACACAAACTAAACACTATATGAATACTGACACAAACACTTTAATGAGTAATACACACAACATACAAGCACAAACCTTTCAATTCAACTCACTCTAGCCACTTATACTCTCAATTTGCACACACAATGTACAAGGATTCAACAACAATACCAAAAAAGAAATATGAGAACAGTATTGTCTACAACAGAACTTAGACATTATTAGTATTACAGAAACCAAACTCTCAAATGAGCTATTCTCACAAAAACGATACAAAACATAGCACTATACATATTTCTGGTCATGTATAGACAGCTAGCTCAAAAGCAAGAACAGCTATTATGATTTGTAACAACCTTACCCCTCATATTCATAATGCTAGCCTAGTTCCAGGATATGCTATTGCTATCGACCTTTTCTTTAAACATGATTTCAAGTTCCAAATTATTTCACTTTATCTCTCTCGCAATGATGCACAACTCCGTCTCCAGACCCAAAACTCCATTATTCAATGGTTTCAGCAGGCCAAAGCAGCTGGTATTCGCCTAATAACTCTAGAAGATTTCAATGCAACCACAAACAATATCCACTTACAGTTTATTAAGTACAAACTTCTTTAATATCTAGCATACAATAACATGTACGATCTAGCAGCATATTCAAACATATCAGCTCACACCTGGACAGAGCTAACTGCAGTAGTGAAATTGACTTTATCTGGACCTACCAACTAATCCTCCAATACCTCACAGATTATAGCACAGATGACCCTACTACTAGTACTCTAAGTGACCACAAAATTCTTATCTCATGATGGCTCTTTCCATTTGCATATACAGGTTAACAAAGACACAAAACCCGCACCCAGAGATGTATCTTTAACTACAAAGCAATAAACCAAGAAAAATGAGAAAAATTTGCAAACCAAGTTACTTCTAACTTAAAGAAGAACAATACATCTCTCTCACTATCTACTTCTGAGTCTCTTGAAACTACTTGGCACAAAATCCAAACTAGTGTAATCACAGCAGCACTCCAGCATATCCCTAATAAAAAATTTGCCATTCGCAACTTCCAGTACACATTTTCACCTAAAGCAACCCAGCTACACTACAGTTTTAAAAAGCTTGAAAATGTCATAAAAACAGTTAAACATGCTATCAAATCCTGTAAGGAGGCCCCAAGGCACCTTGAAACAACTATAGCCCAACTTAACAGCACATATGAACTAGAAATACCTTTTCTTACATGCACTGCAGAATGGATAACAGAAGCCAATACTGAATGGATGAAACTTTATCATACACGTAACCTTGAAAACATCAGACTAACACGTCAACAAATCACAGAGGCAATTTCAAAAAGGTGTACTAAGCTTCAAACTAGCCCAACCTCTATGCTCAATAGCATTCTAAACCAGCACAAAGACCCAGTCAAGTTTGACAACATCAAGCTAGACCAGGAAATAATTACAAATCCCTCTGATATCAAATCACATATACAACAACACTTCAATAATTGGACTGCTCTTCGTTCAATCAACCAAAACATTTTTGACTCTGACTGGCAATTAGAATACATCTCCAAATCTCACATCTGTCAAGACTGGTATCAGGACGTACTTGCAAACTTGTTCCAAGAAGAAATTCTCACTACACTAAGTCAACTGCCTAACAATAAAGCTTGTGGCCCCTCTGGTATAAGCTACAAAATGCTAAAGCAGGCAGGCTCTATATTTCTATTAGC